TCATTCACTCTCAATCACAAGTTCTCTCTTCATTCTCTCATTGCTCTCTTGCTACTCTAAATACACTAAGATTTCGATAAACATTCAAGTGTTCTTCTTCGCTACTTTGCCATTTTGCTTTTGTTCGAGTAAAGGTTGGATCAACTTGCTTGCATTGCTACCATTCCTAATCTACTTAACCGTTAGTTGATTGCTTTGACAGGTTTCAAACTTGAAGTTCAAGTTGAAGATTAATTGAAGAAAGATTTATTTATTTATTTGAATATATATATATATATATATATATATATATTCTTATTTTATTTATTCGAATGTTGTAACATTTGTAACTCTAAAGATCATATATATAAATTTATTTGAGGGTCGTCTAGGGGAGGGGGATTTACATGCCTACTTGTTCATTGTAAAATTTTTAGAAATCATGCCTATAGGTTTGTCTTTAACCACCTAGAATTATTGTTTGTAGGTATTATAATCCAATCAATTGTTTGATGCTTTGCTAATAAGTCTAAAAATAATAAACTAGATTCCATTATTTTAATGTTAAAATCAAATCATAATAGGCTGATTAGGTGTTTTAACAATGTTATAACTTTTAGCATCATCTTGTCATGTAGAAACCATGCCTAAGGATTAAACTGTTCATATCATTTAGATTTACAAAATCATGCATATATGTGTTTCTCAGATCAAGTATACATGCTATAAAACACTTAATGAACATATTTTAAACATTTTTGGACACATGTGAGACTCTAAGCACCTTAATTCATTTTCGGGGTCTTACATTAACTACTAATCAATAGCTAAACAAATAATCTCTCAAATATCAAATAATCAAATAAATCTAATTTACCTTTGTAGATACAAGATTGATTATTTCCAATAATCCAAAAATATTTCAAGACACGTTGATACAATCAGATCAAGATGAATGTAATGCAATGACCAAACACACCACTACATACATATTTCTTTGTTAACAATCACATAATCTATGGGGGGGGGGGGGGACTCTAGAGATCCATATACTCATTTCAAACTAAATTAGTCAGACCATATTGGGTGTCTAACCAATTTTCTATATGTCAAGATCCAAAACTGGGATATGATAATACTTGCTAAATCCCATTAGAATGTAAGTCAATCCTTAGCCCAGGACTAATGATAACGAGCTTAGGGAGCGGAAGAATAGTAAAAAGCATAATAATACAAAATTAAGATAAGAACATTGAAAATAAATGTGAATTACACATCTAGTGGATGCTAGTGCAAAGCTACTGCAAAAGGACAAGACATACTAGACATATACAACCAATATGCAAGTTGTCTCGGAATACAAAAGACTAGTCAAAACTGTACAGAAGGAGATGAGTCAACTATGAACACTAATAAGCTCATCCTCGATCTCTAAAATATCAGCTACAATAACACGAGAATTATGCAGCCAAATAGTGCTCAATTTTGAATCAGGGAAACATGTTCGGCGTGCAGTATGAGTACCAAAAGAATGGATGCTCAGTAAGCATCATAGACCAATCGAGCTTGCGATTGCAATATAAAGATAATAAGGCAACATGACAAAATCAAAAGCATAACTAGACATGTACCGAAGTAAAGCTGATATAGTAAATAGTGGAAGTGATAAAACTATCTAAACCTGATTGGACTTTATAATCCATGAGGCACATACAACAAATAATTGTGATAAATCATACAAACAAAACCCGAACTGTAACATCTCGTAACTCAAAATATCTAGGGATAATCTAAGAAGGCCAAACTAATCACTTTTGGAAAGAAAGGGAAAAAATCTGGAAAATTTCCTAAGTTTAAAAAGTGAGATTTAGTCATTTTTAAATGGCTATAAATTCGAGCTCAGGTTGAGTTAGAGTAAGTTATTCATATTGTTTGAAATCCCTTAGGAATATCTTTCCAATGGCTCCGAGTTGGCTCGCCGATGTCGTATGAGGGAGATATGTCTTTCGGGAGTTGGGTTGTTGGATAGAGGAAGTTCCAATCTGGATTTTAGTAAGGATAAATTAGTCTTTTCACCCTACTATTACCTAATTTGTTTTAAGGGTTTATAAGGAGTAAAAATAAGCCTTAAGTCAGTTTTAGAAAATGAAACCACGCTTAGGTCTTGGGAGAAAAGAGAAGAGGAGAGAAAGATCAAGAATCCATCAAGAACGCCAAGAATCCTCGTAAAATTCATCAGGGGTGATCCCTATTAAGGTGAGTGAGATCTTTTTGTGTAAGGTTAGTTCATGCACACACAAACGTGTTTAAATCAGTGAATTTTTTGTAAATTGAATGATGAATGTTGAAGTTCTTGATGAACAATTGTTGAATTCTTGTTGGTTGAGTCGTAGCTTATCTTTAGTTGATTTGATTCATGTTTTTGGGTTATTTTTCGAGTTGAATCTATTAGATATTGAGGTTATTAGTGAACCTAAGTGTTTAGGGAAAGATCCATGGAATATTACAAGAATTAGGGATGAAAAACGGAGAATAAAAGTTGGAATTCCCGTCTGAAAGACCCTGGAACGCTCGCCTGCCAGAGCCCCTCAGGGCAGGCTCTGTCCGACAGGTCCTGTCGCATCGCTCCAGCCAGAGCACCTCAGGACAGAGTCTTTCCGTCAGGCTCTGACACCCCGTGCCTCTGAGAGCTCCAGGGTTGTTTGGAGACCCCATTATTCCCTTATCTTTTCGTACTAGTTCCTAAGTTATGTAGCCACATTTCTTAGTTGATTTCAACACTCTAAGGTATATCTAAACATCATGAAATCATGTTGATTTCAACACTCTAAGGTATATCTAAACATCATGAAATCATCTATAAACATGAGATCATGAACCTTAAATCCATAACCCAATTCAAGAAAAGTTAAGATCTAAGTCAAAAAAGTAAAGAGTCAAGTCTAAAAGCTAAGAAATAAGTCAAAGAAAAACTCTTAAAGGTTTTGAAAAGTCTTGTTTAAATATTTTAATTATGTTTTGAGACTTAAGTTTTAAGATAAGTAAATAGTAAGTTGAAGTCCTTTTCTTCAAAGGTATATGGAAACTAAGTATTCCCAAAGAAACTTAAAATATTGTATATTTAAACTAGTAAGGAAACTTTGATTTCTGAGGAGCCTTAGGACAAGCTTTTAGAAAAGAACTATAACTTTCTAAAAAAAAGCAAGTAGGGAAACTTGATTTGCAAGATAGCCTTGAGCTAAGTATTTGAACACTAATCTCAAACCACATAATCAGTATATTTTAAAATATAAGAGCTAGCATATTTTTGGGACTAGTATTGAGCACCGATATGGAGTAGAGTCTAGACAAATCACAGCCACCATGGGTAGAAAAGGTTCTTACTTTTTAGATGAACTCTTTTCCCAGTAGACTAGTGGATCCATTAGGAGGTTCTGGTTTGGCCGGGTATAGGATGCGCTGACAGCGTGAGGTAGATCGTTGTATCATCACTGTAGCTCTTAAGTAATAATTGTCAGTTCGAGAAACTCCCATAGAATTTATTGTATTTTATATACATCAGTTTACATGTATTTCAATATACATGTTAGAGTTAATTGTATCTAGTAGACATTAGAGTTTACAACATTTTTGAGACAATTTTCTTATATTGCACATTACTTTTAAACTGCATTATATTAAAATGTGTAGTTATTCATGAGTTGAGCAGAGGCAAGGTAAGTGTTTCTTCTTACTCCATTTAAAGTTCAAGTGTTGTTATAATTCCAACATGCATACTTGTACATTCAATGTACTGATGCCAGTTGACCTGCATCGTATTATGATGCAGACACAGGTAACTGGGATCAACATTCGGTGTGTCGTTGATCCAGTGAGGAGATCAGAGTCAGTTGGTGAGCCTCCCCTCATTCTGGAGGACATCTTTATCATTTAACTATTTGATTTAGTTTTCAGTTATTAGGATGATTGGGGGTCATGTCCCAACATCCATCTCTATTTTAGAGGCTTCATAAATAGTCAGTGTTAGTTTTCTTTGGTCTTTCATCTCATTTGTAAAGACTTGAAGTTTCCATTCTGGCTAAGTACTATTTTAAAATTATTTTTAAGTTATATCCTATGTTTAAGTCTTCTGCTGAGTTAAGTAAGCCAGGATAAGGGTTCGCGCAAGGCCAGTAATGGTCATTGGGTGCCGGTCACGTCCAAGGTGTAGGCTTAGGACATGAAAAATTTGGTATCAAAGCACAGAGTTCAAGAGTCCTAGGGAGTCTATGAAGTTGTGTCTGTAGAGTCTTAGTCAATGGTGTGAAGCGCGCCAGATCTATGATTATGAGGCTACAATAATTAGGAATTCCTCGCTTCCTTCATATTCCTTTTCGTGCATTAGAGTTTATCTCTAAAAGTCTCTCTCTAATTCGTACTTGCGCGTGTTTCAAATAACCATGCCTCTACGAAGAGCAGCAAGAGGTCGTGCAACTAGGAGGAACGTTGAACCTTAGGAACAGGAACTACCCAATGCACTTGAAGTGCAACCACAAGGAGAAGTTACTAATGCTGAGTTCAGAGAGACAATTAGGATGTTGAGTCAAGCTGTGACTAACCAGGTTGGTCAACGAAGGGAAGCTCGACAAGAAGGGGCTGGCACCTCAAGGACTCGTGAGTGCATAAGAATGAATCCTCCAGTTTCACTGGTTCGAGCACAGTTGAAGATGCGGAAAACTTTATGGAAGAGTTAAAAAAGGTATTCGATATGATGGATGTCATTGGTGTTGAGAGAGTTGAACTAGTTGTATACCAACTGAAGAATGTGGCGAGGACTTGGTACGACCAGTGGAAGGAGGGCAGAGATGAAAATGCACCACATTTTTAATTGGGCTTGATTTGAAGAAGCTTTCTTGGGGAGTTTCTTTCCTCGAGAATTGAAATAGGCCAAGGTACATGAGTTCCTCACCCTTAAGCAGAACTCACTCAGTGTGCATGAGTATGTGTTGAAATTGACCCAACTATCTCGTTATGCTCCAGAGATGGTTAAGGACATGAGGAGTAGGATGAGTTTGTTCGTTGTTAGCTTGGGTCATGGTTCAATCCAAGAGGGTCGGGCTGCAATGCTTATGGGAGACATAGACATTTCGATGTTGATGGTTTATGTACAACATGTACAGGAGGAAAAGTTGAGGGACAGAGAAGAGTACAAAAACAAGAAAGCCAAGCTAAGCCTGCGCCATCATCGGCTAGTGCGCCTGCGCCTAGAGACAGAGGTGAGCATCATGGTCTATACTCCCAAGCTAAGCCTGCATATTCATAAGGTAGTGTGGCGCATGGAGGTAGTAAGCCTCCTACCTACACCAAGTGTAATAGAAACCACTCTGGTGTTTGTTGTGAGGGCTCTGCGGGTTGCTTCAAGTGTGGTCAGACTGGAATTTCATGAGGGAGTGCCCAAAGAACAAGCAAGGTGGTGGTAATGGGGGCAACCGAGCTTAGTCTTCATCAGTTGGTCCACCAGACAGGGCTGCACCCAAGGGAACTACTTCTGGTGCTGTCGGAGGAAGAACCCGCTTGTATGCTCTCAACAATCGCCAAGAACATGAGAATTTGCCAGACGTTGTCACTGGTATGATTCGAGTCTTTGACCTTATTGTTTATGCATTATTAGACCCAGGAGTGAGTTTATCATTTGTAACTCCCTATGTTGCCATGAACTTTGAAATTATTCCTGAGCAACTTAGTTAACCATTTAGTTTTTCCACACCCGTTGGTGAATCCATTTTAGCAGAAAGAGTCTATCGTGATTGTCTTGTTTTCATTAGTCACAAGAGTACCATGGCTGATTTAGTTGAGTTACACATGGTAGACTTTGATGCCGTTCTTGGTATGGACTGAATTCATGCCTGCTATGCCTCAGTTGATTGTAGAAATGGAGTAGTCAAGTTTCAGTTTCCAAATGATCCAATCTTAGAGTGGAAAAGTAGTACAAAAGTGCCTAAGGGTCGATTCATTTCGTATCTTAAGGTGAGGAAGTTACTTTCTAAGGGGTGTGTCTACCACTTAGTCCTAGTTAATAACTATCACTACTACAAAACAGCGTTATAGTGGCAATTATTTAGCGGCAATTAATTATTTTTTGCTAATTCATTATTTAAGCTGAGATATTAGTGGCAGATGAACTATAACCGCTAAAAGATATATTTTTAGCGGCAAATAAAATTTATATGCCTATAGAAGTCATTATTGAACTCAACTTTCATTTTTTTGTCGCTCCAAAAGTTTCCAGTACAATTTAATATTTCCTCCAATTATTAATAATTAACTCTAAAATTACAAAGTTAAAAGAAAAACCCTATTCCCTTTATAGTCGACTGCCTGAATATCAATCGCACCTCTGTCATTTTTATGATAGCGAGTCTCCATCTTCAAAGCCCACAGGTATATCAATTTGCACATCTTCCATATTCACCTTAGCGTTTCCTTATTCACATAGCTCTGCCCTATTCTACATCTTCATGTATAAATTCTCTCTTTTAGAATCTCATGTACATCACGCAGCTCTTCCCTGCTCTCCATCTTCACGTAGAAATTCTATGTTTCAGATTTTTCATATCATGTTCTTATTGAAACGAAATCCTATCACATAATAGCTGGCAGAACATTTGGGTTAACTTTTGTTAACTACATGAATAAGAATTGATTTTGGAATTCATATGAAGTTTGACGGTTTCTCAATTTTCTTTTGTATTTACATTTTTCTGTAGGTTTTGACAGAATTAATAGTATCGTACACTTTGATGTCTTCATCGGATAAAGATTCTACTTTCCAGGTAATCGAAAAATTGATGTGATTTCTTATTTTGTAAACATAGTTATAATGTGTTTACGAAGTATGTTGTGTGATTTATGTCTACTATTTATTTGTTGGGCAATTGATTGATATGTTTGATATGTTTTTTGTTAATGTATTAAATTCTCGTGATTATTATTTTAAATCTAAAACAGAACATCAAACCAAGTTTTGTAGTACGTTGATGCGTATGTTCCAATTGAGGATGTTATTATATTGGAATTAAATTTCATATCGATTTCGGGATTTAATTGAAAAGGAATGTTTGATTCTTAAGATTGTTTCTCTACGTTTAGAAACTGAGAACTGCTGCTTGTTTCCCTGTTGAAGAACTAGAAACCAATGCGAATCGATGAAATTTCATTACTTAGTATGTGATAGTACTCTTTTACAACTATATATTTTGTGCAATTGGTAACTTGAAAAATACATTGTTCATTGCTAAACTTTTTAATAGTCGTCATAAATTAAAATCTTTCAGTTTTTTTCTCTTATATTCTTCTTTTTTTCTCTGTTTCTCTGTAGCGCGCCGCTAGCTGCTATAAGTTTTTTTTTCAACACACTGTCTGCAAATTTTTCTATTTTTCATTCTGATCTTCTGGATGGAGTTGTTAGAAATAATTTATGAAATGAGTTATATTCTTGCGAATAGAGCTGAAAATTATATTTTGAAGTGAGAATATGTTTTAAGTATTAGATTTCAATAGAAAGTTCATTGAGTTGAAGAAAGGGAACTAGATCAGTTTGAGCTAAGAAAAATAAAATATAGCTACACTTCTATCCAAATACTATTACTATTGTGGGAAAACTCTCGAGTAGCATTCTCAAAAGTGAGTTTTTTTCTCGCTTAAAGTGAGAAGGGAAGTGAAGTTGTATCATACTTTGTTTTTTATGTCTTTTCATGTCCTGTCTCTATTTCACGACTTTATTTTTGTATAGTTGTATCACTGTTTGTAATATCATGAAGATTGTAGCTTAGCTAGAATTACTTCTAGAATTTTGTATAGCCTAACTAACCTCAACCAATCAGTCTTAGGCATCAGAAAAAAAATTCTGCTCCTTCTCATGGTGATTATAATGATCATATGTGTTTTTTATGTGTCTAAACATTGTGCAATTAACCTTGACCTGAAATTATGTTATCAGATTGTGATGCAATGACTTTTCCTCATCTAATCGATATGTTGGCCTTGAATTCATTTTTCCTTTCGAATACGACATACTGACTAGGCCTGTAAAGTATCTCATCGAACCAGAAATTGGTCCCCTGTAGGCTTGAAGTAGAGTTAGTTTTATTGATAGGTTTTCTTTGAATAGCTGTTTATTAGCATTCTAATTACTTAAGTCACTCCTTACACAGTGCGTCCTATCCTTTCTCTGTTTTAAACTATCTGCATCACCATGAATTTTGCATTTTTTAATTGAGATTACTCATGGTTATGCCTTGACAACCATTGAAAGTTACCTTAAAGTCATCTGCATTGCTTCCGATTGCTGAAGTGTTGTTAGTTCTGTCTATATGTTCTGTTGATATAGCTGAGTATTAGTGGTCAGATTACTCATAGTAATACTTATAAACCTCATCCCCTGATTGTTTTGTTTAAGATAATTTATATTTCATTGCTTCTGCACTTAATTGAGATAACTGCTCCCCTCTAGGCCAGTGCAATAGCTCATCGAACGAGAAATTGGTCCCCTCAAGGCCTATGGGCGAGTTAGTTTTATCGAATGATTTTGTTGGTATAGTTGTGTATTAATGTTCTAATTACTTAAGCTACTCCTTACACAGCCCGTCCCATTTGTTCTCTGGTTTAGACTATCTGCATCGCCATGAATTGTGCATTTTTCAATTGAGACTACTCATGTTTCTGCCTTGCCAGCCCTTGTATCTGCATTGCTTCCAGCCGTTGAAGTGTTGCTAAATCTATTTATGAGTTCGGTCAATATAGTTGCATACTAGTGGTCCAATCACCCGAAGTAATCCTTATACGCCTCATCCCCTGATTACTTTGTTTAAGATAAAATATATTTCATTGATTCCGCATTTTCTAATTGAGATAACTGCTCCCCTCTAGGCATGTGAAATAGCCCATCGAACCATTAATTGGTCCCCTCTAGACTGAAGTCTAATTAGTTTTATTGATCGGTTTTGTTGGTGTAGTTGTGGGTTAGTGTTGCAATTACTTAAGTTATTCCTTACGTAACCTATCCCATCCTTTCTCTGTTTCAGTCTATCTGCATAACCATGAATTTTGCATTTTCCAATTTAGACTACTCATGTTTATGTCTTGTCAACCCTTGCATGTTATCTCAAAATCATGTGAATTGCTTCCAACCGCTAAAGTGTTGTTAGTTCTATTTATAAGATTAGTTGATATAGTTGTACATTAGTGGTTTGATTACGAAGTAATCTTTATTAACCTCATCCCCTGATTTCTTTGTTTAAGATGATTTATATTCCATTGCTTATGCATTTTCTTATTGTGATCACTATTGTTGATGACTTGCAAGACCCTTGAATTTTATCCCAAATTCATCAATATTGTTGCCAGCCCTCGAAAATAAGTTTGTTTTCTTGTTGGTAATAGTGATATGCAGTCTATGATAAAGTAATTTTATCCAAAACAAAGTCATTTAATCAAAATACAAGAATTTAGCTAGATTGTAGAATCATTTTATGAAGTATAACCAACAAAGTTTCTCATATGCAGAAACTCATAAACTGTAAGTGGGACTTTACAGTTCATTAAAGACCTATAAGAAACATTTAAAGGCAGTGAATGACCTAAATACAATAGGAAATTTTGGCAGCAAACTGAGACAAAGACTTGGATGATTAACAACCATTTAGATATGGATCAACCAATCTTGACTATATTGTGCAGCCGTGGAATAGCCCATCGAACAAGAAACTGTAGGTTTTGTTGGTATAGCTGTGTATTGGCATTGGTAAGGAGCAGTCCAATGCAATTTCATCATCTGCAGTCGCTCTATCCCTTACTGAAATTTCAGTATTGTCCATAGAATGTGAAGTGTAAGAAATAGAAACATCTTTCGGCTCATTGGTCATGTCATTCAAATTTCCTGGTTCCATAGTAGGGGACACATTTAATTCAGTCCTTGATGATCACTAGCATCACCTATGGGTTCTGGACTTGTTTATTCTTTTTCTGTTTTGAGTGTTAGAATTCAATATAAAAGGTGTTTAATAATCTTACACTTAATGAAAAGGTGCTAAATAATCTCAGGTTCCTTCTACATAACACTCATTCAGGTCACTTTGTATTCCCCATTTCAACTACCTATGTAAGTCTTAAGTGTATACTGATCGAAAGCTTTCAATAATTGAACATTTAGAAGCTTAAATATGTAAGTAGGAACTACAAAATCATATGTGGTTTCTGTAATTTCTCCTTGAATTTAAATATCTTGAACAACCTTTCATAGAATATTCTTTACTATGCAAGCTATATACCTTAATGGTTTCTTTCTAACTATAAAATTGAAGATATAATTTGCTAGTAAGATAATTAAGAATTTAACTTAAATAAAACTGCTTGTAGAATATATATTTGTTTATAGCATAACTAACCTCCACACCATCCCGTATACTTTCTATATATCCTTATGCATCATAAAAGTTTTGACCAAATGATAGAAGTAAACTTGAACTTTTAGAAAAGGTTCTCAATTGTCTAAGGTTTTTGCTACATAACATACATTCAGGTCACAATCATGTTAGTTTTGTACACTCCACTTTAGCCATTTACGTAAGCCTTAAGTGTATTACAATTAGAATCTCTTTATACTTAACTAGCAAATGCTTAAATCTGAAAATATGAGCTACTACAAACTGCCTGTAGGTTCTGCAACTTGTTCTTGAACATGAATATTT